GTTTAATGCTTTCACTACATCGGTATAGTCATTAGCAATATGATTTTTTTTTTTAATTGATACAGTTATTCAACCCACCTGGCACAAATGGAGCTGTACCTCTGTGTTGACACTTTTGAAGAAGTTTAAAATATTCCTTCTCTAGAAAATAATGAGTGGCATCAGTATCACTCCACCCACAGCGGTGAATGTTGTGGGTTTTCTGATTTGTTCTAGTGAACGTGCATGCTATGAGTAGTTAGAGCAATTCAAACACTGCATGGATTTATAGAGAGAAAGAATTAAGGGTAATAATGAAGCAAACAGAATTACCATTTTTTTCATAAGTTTGAAAATAGCTGAGTAAGCAGATGTAGGGGTTCTTGTAGCCTTGTGCAGTTTGTGACACTTGCACTCTGCCATATAAATTACTCTGATGCCACAAACAATAATTTAATTTTGCTGAAGGATTAAATAGTAGCAATGAAATCCTAAGTAGGGAATCCACCGAATAAAACAGGGTTTTAAAGAGTAATTCTTTTAGTTGAGGAGAGAGGATAGGAAACATAAATCTAATACTTTACATTTTTTTTCCCCCTAATATAGAAAACATTCTCTAGTAGGTTTGAATCTTACTCTTGTGTAGGGTACAAGGTCACAAGTCTTTATAACAGGTTGGTCAATCAGACTTAAATGGCTAAATTTTAATCTGCTAAGCTTATTAGAGAAACAACGCTTCTATCGCTGTAGTTACGTTTGTCACAAGTTTCAGTGTAACCTCTCTTTGCTGTTAATGATGGATGTTACATCAGTTTAGACTTAAATTTAGCAGAGAAGTTGTGTTGTCCCAGATTCCATTTATTTAAAAACTGTGTTTATTTTTTAAGAAAACCCCTATACTTCAGAGAATTTAGGGAAGAATTTAGTGTTGCAGTCTTTCACCGTTGGAGACTTAGCTTCTGTTCCCAAGGGAAGTGAATTTGGCCATAGTAAAGTTTTTTTTTGTCTGCGAGAAAGATGTATGCATTTGAGTTAATTCCCTGGATACTAAATTAGCTTTACATCAGGGTTTGTATGTTAAAACAGAATGTTTTAATGGATATGAAATTTCTCACACGACCTTTAGCAAAAAGCTACAAACTGAATCGCATAATTTAGCTAAAAGGCTTTTGTACTGTGGTACAAAAAATATAAGGAACACCAGAACACTCCCTCTGGATGCTTTAATGAAATAGTAAGTGTTAGTGCTTCAATTAATAGGTTAAAAATGACTATTTCAAGACGGCTAGGGGGGTGTTCACGAAGAGTACTTTAAAACAGGAGTAGTCTTCCATGCACACTTACTAGCCAGTTTGTTTTACCTTCAGCGTTTTCATATCATTTTTCCAACGCTGATTCATTTGCACATGATGTGAGCAAGCAAGGATGTGAAAGTGAAGACTTGGGGGTTTCTGTTTTGTCGTAATGATTTTTAAAATATTTTTATTTGTCTTAATGGCAGCATTATTTCTTTACATACATGATAACTATGATACAGCTCACGTACATGACGGAGATGGATTATGAAGCCAGGTATCCTAAAGATACTCATCTCGTTTTGTTAACAGCCTATGGAGCAGGATGATGGCAGTTCTGTTAATAGAACTGTTAAATAAAAATGGTTCTGCCTCTGTCAGAGGAGGTTAGGGTGGACGGAAGAAACAGATGTGCTTTTTATCAAAAAGCATGTATTTGAGAACATTTCTGATTTCTGTAAGGAGAAGGTAGCATATAGCTCTTGGTTAGAGGAAGAAAAGGTGCTGAGCACTGTGGTCGCAGTGTATGGGGAAAATATGAGATAAACTGGATTCCAGTTTGCAGGACAGAGGAGGCTAGAAGAGCTGCTTTTGGTATGAGCAAAATGGTTGAAAGAGCAGGCGAACTTCCTAAGCGTATTTCTTCACTTGTGTTACAAAACTTATCACCGTTTTAATGTGTTGCTGCATTTAGTTTGCATTCGTGTGGCTTTGCCTGCTTTTCTTATCTTCTCTTCATCGTTAATCTTTTTTTTCTGATTTTCATACGTGCATATGTATTCTCTGCCCCTTCAACAATTACTTATTCCCTTCCTGAGATTTTTTTTTTTTTTCTTCTGAGTTTTTGTGGTTTTTGAAACCGGGTAAACATCCATTAATCTTGGTTTTAAACACTTCCGTTTCTTCCAGCATCTGTCCTTTAATTTTTCTCGCCTTTTGTTTGTATTGTGAATATCATGTAATAAGGAGGAGAGATCTTTGCAAGCAGTTACAAGCAGGGTATTATGTAGAGCTCTGGGTCAGTGGATCTGGCCTGCTGCATAATGAGATTGGATGGGTAGATCAAAACATCCCTGAGTCACTAAATTAGAATTGCCACTTGCACCAGAAACCAGGCGAGCAAAGCCCCGGGAAGGCCACGTGCTGCGGCGGGAGTGAGGAACAAGGGGTGCGAAGTAGCTGGCACAGGTTGCTCATGTTACTTTGATTTTTATAAGAACTAGTTTCCTTTGGAATTTATTTTGGGTTTGTTTGGTTATTTTCAGCTGTAAATCAGGCTTTCTGCTGTTAATGAAACTTTCTGTTGGCACAGCAGAGAGGCTGAAGAAAATATTGCGGCTTGCATCTATATTAAAATAAAAATACTTATATATTCTAGTTCTGTACATGGCTAGGTATTATGTATATATGCTGTAAAAAATAAAGACGTTTTGATGAGGCCTGGGCCAGAATATTGTATTTGAACTATCCGAAGCTTCTATCCACCCGTCATCGTATTTTCATTCTATGCCGAATGTTGACTTTTAGCAGGATGGCTCATTTTGTCGAAGTGTAATCAAATCTCCAACGTACATTTGGACTTTGCTTTCTTCTCCTGTTTCCCTTGACAAGATTTCCAGCAGTGTACATCCATAAATTGAGCACACCGTAGCTGTTTCTCAGTTTGACTGTCGACATTTCTGAAGCTTGGGTTGCTGACTGAAACAGGATTAGTGGTAAATTGAAAGATGGTCTTCATCTAGGTATGCAGGCAGGGCTTATTTAGGGAAAAAAAAAATAAAATGTGTATCTTCTAGCTAGAGATTGAAAGAGAAGATTTAGAGTGACCAGAGGTGGAATGGGTGGACTCGTCCATCTAAGTCTGTTCTGGTCCCCAGTGCCCTAAGAGGAGGCTTTTGTAGGTTCACAAAAAAGGACATTTTGCATCCGAGTCCCGTGTTTAATATGGCACGTGGTCCATCCAAGTGGGAAAGGTTAAATTCTGCCTGTAGCTTATGCACCCCCTGCCTTTTGTTTTTCAGGAAAAGTCCTTTGTCAGTAGCTATCAAATGAACTAAATAGATCCATCGACAACAGGCTGATTATTTTCTTGTTGGTTTGTTCTTATTTATGGTTCTGCTGTGAAGATGGAGCATCTTCTTACAGGCTGCATTAAATAAATTCAGTGGTCAGTCATGCCAGCAGCTTCCTGGGTGTATTCCCAACATCTCCGTTTGCCACACCAAAACCTTCTAGTTCGTGACAGGCGTGGGTTTTTTTTTTTAATTGAATGGGGAGTTTATTTCTCAAGTGCATTCAGAGCTGGTTCTTTGGAATCTGTTGAAAGGGTTTGGATGATGATTAAGCGATGACTTGCCGGGTAAAAGCTGCTCTGAAGTCCCACTTATGAAGTTTATTGTTCGGTAATCTAACGCGTAAGTGACTTTGTGATTAATGACATGGATTAGATGCATCTTGTACCTGCTTAATGAGAAAGATATTTTAATCTGTTGCAGTGATTTTTTTTTTTTTTCCCTTAAATTTTTCCATAGCAGCGTCTAGCATTTATTAGGCTCCTCTTGCCCATTCCTTCTCTTATTTTCATGTGTCGGTGATCTGGAGCAACCTGTCTAACTGTGCCTTCACTGCAAAGAAGGGGGGGGTGTTGCTGGCTCATCTCGGGTTCTTTTCCTCCTTGTATGCCGAAATGAGACTTGTTCCTTCTTTGGGTAATCTGCTTCAGGATGAGGGAATGTGAATAGGATAAGAAGGTGGTTTTCTCGATGGAAATTTCTCCTGTGGCCTGGTGGCGCTCAGCTACTCCGGGGTGCTTGCACGTCTCCATCGACTTAGTGGCAGCGCTGTTATTAACTTGTGTAGAAAGGTGCTGTACAGACAATACTGATTTTCTATTGAAATTTTAAAAACCCCACGCTTTATTTGTCTTGAAGACATCTGAATGTCACTAAACCTCTCTGGGCTGGGGCAGAGTCCACCTCTGCCGTGGCTTGGTCTGTGCCGGAGCTGGGCTGGTCCCTCGTAGGGCAGCAGAACCCCTGGGCCAGCTAAGCTGCTTTAGCTGTCTGTAACAACATTACAGATTATCCAGACTTGAAAAAAATGCTTCTCTTGTTTTAAGTGCAGATATTTTACAAATGCATGACTTGAAAAAGTCCAAAGTCTTAAACAGATAATGGTTATTAGAGCCTCCGTGTGACTGGTATCTTTATTTTAGGTAAGTGTGTGTCCTTCACATGGTAAAGGGTTTTGGAAGAGAAGCTGAAGCTAAGATAAGAGCATAAAGCCCTTGAATCTATACTTTAAAGTATTTGTAACTTACTTTGACAGCTAATCAATTCTAAAGGTAAGTATTTACACTGTGGAGACTTACGGTAGTATAAAATGTTTTGGACGCTAAAACCACTTGCGTTTTATTCTGGACTTCCACATCAAGGCGGCGTTGGAGTGAAAGCATCATGAAAATACTTAAATGCAGCCTTTACAGTGCGTTCTCTGAGGCCAGCGGAGCGTGTCCTGGGAAGGTGGGTGCCTGTTCAACACCCCCAGGCTGCAGCACGCCTCCACGTTCCCACTGGCGTCAAAACTTACCTGCTTTAAGTGGAAGCTTTGTATAAGTATAGAAGGTTACATTTCTGTTAGTTCACTTCCATCTTGCCTTTGGCATATTACAAAGGATTGTTATAATAAAATGATGTGATGCTAACTCTGCAACGAGCCCTCAACATGAGGTAGTGAACAATTGATTTGCTTTTGTTTTGTCTTTAGGAGATTCAGTTTTAGAGGTGTGTGTGTGGAAGCTGTTACCACTTACCTTAGAATATTCGAACAAGATACCAGGTAAGTGCTGTATCTGCTCATTTCTTGTAGCTAAAAAAAAAATAAATCATTTAAATGCAAAATAATGCTGAGGAAACAAAGTTCAAAGTTTCATATAGAAATCTCTTAACGCTTGACAAAGCTGAGCTTAAAACACCTTATGTTTTTCTTGGTAATACATGGTAATATGTTTCTCTCCTCTCCCCTTTAAAAATGATTTTTTTTTTTCACCCTAGAAAAATAGCAAATTGTGAAAACGACTCTAAATGAATCTGAGACAGATGGACAGGATGTGGAGGCCAGTGGTGCTATTTCATTTTTGTGATAAATCAATATTTACTAAAGTACTCTTTGGCTTGGTGTTTTTATTTAGGCTTTTACTAGTAAATACTGGTTGAGATAGAATAATTTAGTTTAAGATTAACACCTGTAGTTAATTTTCTACACTGGAAGTCTTTGAAAAGCTAGTAATCTTAAATTTAACTGACATATTTTACCGCGTAGTCAGTAACCAGAAATGCTTTGTAGAATACAAATCTTTCCTAAAGAACTCCAGTGCTTCCTAAAGTTGTATAATAAAGCATCAGCTAGACGTAATTTTTGTAAGAGCTGGCAAAACATCATTTCCAGGCTAGGTTCTTTAATCATCTGCTAATATGCTCTTAAAACTGTAATTGCAGAGGCCTTGACAGCACTGCAGAGAGTTTTGTGTTAAAGACTCTGGCAGGGTTGGTGCCTGGGTGGCGTTGGGCTGTGCTAGGGCAGCTGCTGACCTCCTCTTCTCCTGGCCAGCACTCCCAGCATGGCTTTGAGCTTGTCTTTCTTAATCCTCTTCTTTCTTATCTGCCCCTTTTGGGGATTCCTCTATTCTCTGTGTTGCTGGTGAAGTGTGGAAAGACTCAGAAGCTGTTTTGTTCTGGTTTCAACCAAACTCATTGCAATTTGGATCAAGTATCCATTAAGCTTAGTGGTTCTCCACTGTCTCATGTCTAGTGGGTAAGTATCACTTCCCATGTCAGGAGGTGGTGGATTTTCTCTTTTACAGCAGGATTTTTGGAACAACTGTTGACAGCCAGATTCCCTCCAAGGAAGAAATTTCACTAAAACTGCTGTGAACAACATGTATTTAAAGGTCTGTGCATTGACAGATGCATTCACGATTTAAAAAAACCATAAATTTCTGGTAGCTTGAACTTATGACTATACAGGTGTTAAGAAATTCTGTGAAGACTGTACCCCAGTGTCGTGCTGTGGTAGTATTTTTAAAGTGAATGTGGCTTGGTTTCCTCTGCTCCTTCTAATTTTTATCAGTGGAGCTGAACAGCCATAACTCCTCTACAAAGCAGTCTGTCCTCCGGTGAGGAAATTCCGAGTAAGCAGCTGTGCCTTTGTGACTTAGATGGAAAAAAATACACAAAATTAATCGGATATGTGAAAAGTGACATTTTAGGCAACTTGGTACTTGACAGTTTCCACAGGTTTGTTCGTGAATAAATACAGAATACTTCAGCCTTGAGGTGAAACAAAAGTCCTGTTGTTAGCCTGCTTTCAGATGCCAAGGACACTGAAATATTGTCGATACTGCGCTCAGGATCGGCCCTCCATCGCCTCGTTGGTGCGAGGGGCTCCTTTCTAGCAGGGATCTGACTCCTGCAGTTTGCTACAAGTGTCTGCTCCCTGCATGAGCAGTGTCAGTAACCATCGCCCTCCGTCCTGCCACGCAGCTGTAAGCATATTTTCTTGGAAAAGTTGCCCCTCGTTACCCCCTTCCAGTTAAATTCTTTGCAGCATCCTGCAGTGGGGTCAGATGAAGTTTTTTTTCCTCCCTCCCTGCTTCTGGCCACCTGATCTGCTGTCACCCCTTTTGCACACTGGCATTCATTGGGATGTTCTGTGAGTATTTAATTCCCTAAACTGGCAGAGAACTCTTCCTTTTTCTTGGCTGTAATAATGGCTTGCCATTTTGATGAGTTAAATGCAATTTACAAAAGGGTCAGCAGACCTGGCAGAAACTAAGATATCACAAGTTTCACAGAACTTGATAGGATTCTTTTGGGAAGGTAAAATTAGTCTTTCTGAGGTTCAGTTTACTGTTGATGTATTTAAAATGTTAAGGCTGGCTTCCATATAACCATCAGGTTTAATTTAAGTCTTTTCAGCAAGGTGGCACCAATGATACTTACCTGGTCGTGCTTAAAACAGTTGAATTTTCTGGTAAAGCTGACTAGTGCAGGATATTCTGGTACACAGATGGTTAAAAACTGTGCTGTTTAATCCAGGGGATTACCTTTCTTCAGAGCCCAGAGCCTTCGGAGAGAAACCTCTTCAGGGCATCCTGCTTGGTTAGAATACGGAGCAGATGGCTTGTTGCGGCTGCATACAATGCTTTTTAAAAACACAGAGCAGCTTTCAGTACTGTGAATTAAAGCCACTTGTAAAAACAGTAGGACAGATAATATCCTGGTTTACGAAGTACTCTGAACTTAAATAACTTGCACCTTTATTGTCTGTTTCATATTTGAAAAGCCAAAGGTTGTGTTCCTCGTAATAATACTCTTCTGTTCCCTTAAATAACAAACTTCCCAGATGAATTCCCATTACCACCTTGTCCTCCACTCTTCTGCCAAGGCCAACGTGTCCACTTCATGCCAGTTTTAAAAAACAGACACCCCGCTGCAAGGAACTCCAGATACCCTGAACTGTTCAAACTGGAGCGATTAAAGATTGCAGCAGTGTGGAATTTTATTCCTTTGGCTGTCTTTAGTCTCGACAGGCAGCCTGCGGACTGATAGACATCGCCTGGACCAAATTGGATTCCATTTTTCTTGGACAAATTGGCCACTAATTTAACAGTGGAGATTTTATTAAGCAGAACGTGTGTATACCTGTGATCTGCAGCATCTGGGCATGTTGGATTGATTTTAAAGGAAGCTTGTTACGCCTAAATAAAAAACTAGAGCTACAGACTTTAAACAACACAAACGTTCATAATGCTCTCGAAGCTCCAGTTGGAAGCAATGCCTTTGGAAGAGCTAAATTAACATGTACAATCTCAACCAAGCTGATTTTTTTTTTTTTTTTTTTTTTCCCCTGATTTCAGATTAATCCCACAGGTCCCTGGCAAAGGGCAGCAGCAGTAAGACACGCTGCCTGGGTGACCGGTGTGAGAGAGCTGCAGGAGAGTGTCCCAGGAGGGCTGTGGTGGTGATTGGAGAGCAGGAGAAGCTGGTGGGGGAGCCAGGGCAGTGGTTGGAGCAGGCCCGTGTGATTAGCTAGATTACCAGAGAGATGTCAGGATCATCAGTCTTTGGCCTCAGCACTGGGACTGCTCGGGCAGAGGGGGCTGGGAGCCTGCAGCCAGGTTGACCCGTAGCTGTGGATGGGAAAAGCTGTCCCTGAGGGTTGTGCCTGGGATATTTCTGGATGTGGGATTTCGTTCCTGAAATACCTTTTTTTTTTTTTTTTTTTTTTATCAGATTGTGCCCAAATAAATAAATTATTTGTGCTGTGTCTCACAGGACTCAATAATCTTCCTCTCATACAGAAACCTTTTGGTAGCTGAACAGTGTCCTTTAACAGAAAAGAAAAGATATTCTCTCCCTGTCCACATATTCACCTTTCAGATTTGGGATGCGTGTTGAATTCTTACAGCATTAGAGTTTAGACCTTTTATTATTATTCATAATAATGTATAGCTTCCATATTAGGTAGCTTTTAATTAAACTCACCAGAGCTGCCAAAGACTTCTTGAAGGAAACAAGTTGAGAGTTTGCTAGTCTAGCCAGTGTTTTCCAGGGTTAAACTGATGTAAAGCTGGAGAGGCCGAATGCGGAAGAGTAGTTAACAGTAGGCTCGGAGATGAACAAGAAAGTTATTCAGTGTTTCTGTCCGTGTCCTTGCCACCTCGTCGCACGCTTGCAGAGGCATGACCATACCCCTGTGTTGGTAGAAGCAGAACTGTTGCTCGGCGAAGTGTGTCAATACTGTGAGGTCGTGCCGAGAACTGGGCAGCACGAGATGTCTGGGAGTTTTTCTTTCAGGCAGCCTTTTAAAAAGTGATGTTATTAACTTTGTTACATAAGACAAAGGGTTAAATTAGAAAAGTCCGGTGCTTTAAATATCTTTTTCAAAGACTACATAATCTGATGTAGGCTAACTGTAATGACATAATCCAAAAATAGCCAATAGTCTTCTCTTCGATGCTCATCCTGGTGGCAGTTCTGCAGCTCAAGAACGGCGGATGCTAATCTCCTCAGGGTGTTAGAGGACAAAACCATACCTGCCCGTGGCATGGCACAGGGGAGACCTCTCGGGTCTTGCACACTTGAATTTGGAGCAGGAGGTTAATCCACGTTCAAGTAGCGTGATTTTTAACTGGAATAGATGTTAAACATTTGATCCACGACTTTAAATAGCGAGAGGGGAGATCTCTAAGCGGACAGGCGTTCCCTCTTGCACAGTGGGATGCAGAGGCCTAGTCGAACTGGGTTTGTCTGTCTACAGGATTCTGCTCAACCTGGTGTCTGCGACGGGATGGGAGGCTGGGGGTTTGGAAGGTTTGGGTGGTGTTGGGTTTTGCTTTGTTTTGTTTTTTTAACAAATGAAAATGCAAATGAAATCACCCCTGTGCAAAAAAATCAGCCTCAATGTAATAACAACCTCTCTGATGTCAAATTGTTTTTATAGGGATTACCGTAAATAAATTATCTTAATATTAAGACTAATGATGAAGCAGTTTTAGGGATGTGTTACGTGGTACATACCCATAGCTGTACCTCAGCTGTTGATTTGGGGGTTTGGGAATGAAGAGTTGAGTACATACAGTCGTAATTCTGCGGTGCCTGGTGTGTTGAAAATGGAATAGTTGTTTTCACTGATAATTCACTGAGTTTTGTCACTTTTTAACTTCCAGATATGTTAAGAGCCTTTTCAAAGCCCATCTAAGCTTTATAAAAGATGAGTTTTCATGCACAAACTCTGGTTTTAAGGATGACTTGATTAACGATGTCTGTGTTCTTCTCTAAGTATTTCTTAATCTTTTCTTGGCAGGGGCCAGTTCTCTCTTCAGATTAGTTCAAGATGGCAGACCAGAGGCAACGTTCGCTCTCTACCTCTGGAGAATCGTTATACCACGTGCTGGGCTTGGACAAGAACGCCACTTCAGATGATATCAAGAAATCATACAGGTAAAGGTTCAGGTTTTACACCTGTTGCCCAACAGCACTGATAACTTTAAGTGTTCGACAGATGGCCTGTTTATGTACAGGCTAGAGTTGGTTTATTTAAACCTTTTGCAAGAAAAACATGTACGAAAACCAGGTGAAAACATGGTTGCTTCTTGCAGAAATTGGTGTGAAAACGTGCCTAGGCTTTGGATATAAACGCTGTTAATTTTTTACATCTTATTTCTGAGTTAGTCTCAAACACACGGTATCATTCTGGAAGATTTTTATCTAAAGTTGAACAGAGTTTTAAGCCAGTGTGATCAGAGTTAAATTCTTCATGTTACGTAGCCTTGTGTCTGGCTTACAGGGACCACAGATGTGCAGTACTGCCCTTTTGTCCATCATTTCTAATTCTGGCACAGCGAGGTATAGCTTAAAAATGCAAATAAGGACGAAAACTAAGTATCAGCAATGACTTTTTTCCTAAAAACCCATTCAGAATTTCTTACTCTGTGTGGAGCTACTATTTTAAAAGAGGGTCTTTTTCTTTATTTCTTTTCTTGAAGAGTTAGGCACATGAACAAAGCCAAAAAAAGTCTTGTAACATCCTCCCTTTCCACATTTCCCCAAAATCTGCTTAAATGTAATTGCTTCTTCACCATAAGCGTGAGCTACGTAGACTGTTTGACAGTGGCAATGTGTTTGGCATTACACTAGGGGTCAGTAGTAATCTTTACACGAGGATATTCTTTTCTTATTTGAGTCTTTAACATCTACCAGAACTTTTCGCCGTTCAAAGTTTCCTTTTAATACTGCTGGCGACTACATGGTGAAGATTATGAATAAACTGGGACCACAGATTCTCAAAAATTACCCGTGTCTGCCTAAAAGTGGAAGTTTGAATCGGTAAACTTCAAGCCTTAGCAATTGGAAAATAATTTTACCTTCTTGGAGGAAAAAACTGCAACAAATTTTCCTGGGGAGGAACGACCCGATTAAATCCTGAGGTGAAATGTGGCTGCTTCGTACTTACCTGAACCTTCATCTGATCTTGTCTCCTCCTGCTCCTTTACCCAAAGACTGACCACCTCTGGTTTTCACTCCATTTGAACATCCTTTGCTGGCCTGTGGGCTGTGGGGTTTGTGTTCATTTAGGAAGTGGGAAATAAAACGTATTTATCATTTGCACCCTGATAGTAGCTAAACCCTTTCCAGGTTTCTATAACTTCCCTCTAATTATAAAAACTGGGATTATTTCAGTCCTCACTGAGGCTGTGGCATAAGTGGCAGCTGTGGGTGTTATTGAACTGAACAGCATCATTTATAGTTTGAGTGTTTCAAGCCTCAATTTATTGTTTGAACACTGTGATATATTTGCCTGCACGTCCAAGTGTGTGCTTGTGCCCAAATCTTTATTTTGTGTGTGTCAGCATTTCCCCGCTGTAAAGTTGACGTGTAAACATCTGCAGGCTTCTGGTGTATTTCTCAAATAAGGGGCTTTGTGGTAATTTCTGTAGGAGAACAAGTACATTTTTTGGTGGAGGAGAACCGTTAGCATACAATTCTCTATCATTTTTCTGCTTGGGAGCACATTTTTTCTGTTTGTAAGGAGTCGTTTGACCAGTTTTCTACTGATTTCCATAAATAGCCTCGGCCATCTCAGAACTAGCAAATTTATCAGTGCTTAATCTGATTTTTTTTTTTTTTGGTGCTGTGTTCAGAGACCTCCGAGGACTGTAAAGTGCTGTCATTTAGCTGAAAGATCTGTCGTGATGAGGGGAGGTACAGTGTGATTTCCTGATAACTCGGAACTCTGAGGCATTTTCTATTCTAGCAAAGCTTGAACTGAAAGATACTTTGTTCCTGCACAGGAATCGGTGAATTAACCACAAAGTGATTGTCTGTTCTATTTTTGTGTTCAGACACTGCAGATCAGCTGTGGCAGTTTGCTTTTATTTGTTCTTTGGTACCCTATCTTAGACTTGTGCTGTGTCTTTTTTCTGTTAGCTTGGTCTTTGCTTTAGCAGAAGCAAAACTTAACTTGTAGAAATTGCTGGATCTGAGGGGTAAAAAAAAAAAAGAGTGCTACTTTTCTTCAATGTCTTTTTTTCCATTGGATTTCTGAGGGCCGAATCCAACGGTCTGAAGTCCATCCTGTGAACTGAGCTAGACACTGCTGTAGCCTTTTGTTATCATCCAAGGAAGAATCGTCAGGGAAGTTGAATCACAGATGAAGGAAACCAACTGGAACTTGAAAGTCTCCTTTGAGTGACAGGCAATGGAATTAAAAAAAAATAAAATCAAAAAACCAGGAACCTAAATCCCAGTTTTTAATCTATAACGTTCTCTCTTTTTTTTTTTTTTTTTTTTTTTATATCATCCTGATAAAAACCCTGATAATCC